GATTGTGAGCACAGCCCACAGGATCCTGTTCTTACCCATACAGCTTCTTACTGGAGATGCTTGTTTCCAGTCTCTGACTTTGATTTGTCCCTCTAGGATCTTAGAGTCTCAGGGCTGTGTGGGGCTATTGAAACTATCATCCTGGGGACCTACAGGCAGGTGCTGACACAGAAGTGAGGGAGAGATGTAGATGACTACAAAAGAAGAGAGGCCAAGAAACTCTGGAAATTGGTGATGTTTGGAGAATGCAGCCTCCAGTCACTAAATTGTCTGGGCCTCTCTTCATGTCTTTATCAACCTGGGTTAGGGTTTGATCCGGGACCTGAACCCACTTAAAATGGTATATACTACTTTTCCCCTATTTTTTATCGAAGTAAAATAAATATAACATAAAAATTACCATTTTAGCCATTATATAGTATACAATTCAGTGGCATTAAGTACATTCACATGTTATTCAACCGCTATTTCTATCTAGCTTCAGAATTTTCTCATCACCACCAAAGGAGACCCAAAACCCATTACAGTTCTCCCCATTCTCTCCTTCCCCCAGCCCCTGGCAATCACTTCTACGCCTTAAACTCCTACATGAATGATCATAGCAGCATGATTCACAATAAATGGAAAAAGTGGAAACAACTTAAATGTCCATCATGGGTGAATAGATCAACAAAATGTGGTCTGTCCACACAATGAATACATTCAGCCATGAAAGGGAATGAAATATTGACATAAGCTACAACATGGATGAACCTTGAAAACATGCTGAGTGAAAGAAGTCAGACACCAAAGGCCACAGGATGTATGTGCCTACTTAGATGGCATGCCAGAGAAGGAAAATCCATAGAGACAGAAAACGGATTAGTGATTTACTGCCTTTTAAACGTGACATAGCTTAATAAAAAAGATCACTTAATATAGTTATTTATAAAGAGAGGTTGAAATCTCATTGTATTGAAGTTATTGACTGAGCACAGACCATGTACATTTGCTCACTTAGTGTACTGATTTAATTACCACAGGCCGCACCTACTGTTTTCCAAGTCACAGTCCAAGAATAGCTCATTTAGTTCCCACAACAGTTCTTTGAGGGAAGTAGAGAGAAATGGAGATGCAGAGAGGTGAAGAAACTGGCTCAGGTTTACACAGTGGGCAGAGCAGGGATCTGCACCCAGTGGACTGACTCCCATGTCCCTTGGTCTGATGGCTACGTTGCATTGCCTCAGGAGGGGCAGGTGGGCCTCACAGGAGCTGGAAAATAACCAGAACATTATTTCTACACAGTGCCTTCCTTTAATTTCTTGCATGGATAACTCGAGAGTAAGAATCTGCTTGATTCATATGAAGTTAGAGGTGCACACTACAAAGTGTTGTAGACCCCAGGTAGGGATGTCTTGTGGTATCTGAAGCTCTGGGAGGATCAGAATTTATCAGAAGGGAGGAGAGGAGCAGAGTAGCAACAGCTGGAAACTCAGTGAAGGAACAATTTCATGTTTGGAAGCAAAATCCCTAGAGGGATGAAGGATAGAGTCTTTGGGGACAGCCAGCCATGGGTTCAGGTTTTGGATCTGCCATTTTGACGGCTTCATCTTAAACAAAAAGCTTAGCTTCTCTGCACCACAACATTCTCAGTGAGTATTCTAAGGTTACTCAGAATGGGGTGATAAAAACAACACCTCCTCTACTACACTATGAGAGGATTAATTAATAGGAAGCACAGAATAGGAACTCTACCAAAACCTCCTGTCATTTACCAGGAGCACCACTTTGGGCAGGGCCAGCAGTGGTGGAAGCTGATGGCCGTCCTCCACCCACGAGCTGAGCTCTCCATGTCACACCTCACTTCAGGCACAGCCTCCATGCAGGGAGCCAACCTCTCAGCAGTGACTGAATTCATCCTCATCGGCTTCTCCACCTTCCCCCACCTCCAGCTGATGTTCTTCCTGCTCTTCCTGCTCATGTACCTGTTCACGCTGCTGGGCAACCTGCTCATCATGGCCACCATCTGGAGTGAGCGCAGCCTCCACAACCCCATGTACCTCTTCCTGTGCGCCCTCTCCATCTCTGAGACCCTCTACACCTTTGCCATCATCCCGCGCATGCTGGCCGATCTGCTCTCCACCCACCGCTCCATCTCCTTCTGGCCTGTG